GCGCCCGCGCGCGCCCGCCCGCCCCTCGCGTGCTCGCCGCGCTCGCTGCGGCCCGGGCGGGTGGAGGGCGAGCCCGAGCTGCCCCGGCCCGGGCTCTCGCCTGTGGCCCCGGCGCGGGAGCAGGGCGCTGAGCTCGCGGGTGGGGTCTCTGCGCTCTTTGCCCCGCCGCCGAGGGACTCTGGGGCCGCGCGGTGGCGGGGAGGCGCGCTCGGACGGGTGTCCTTGGCTCGCCTCGGCGACCGGGGCAGCGCGAGCCGTGCTCTGCATCCTAATGTCTCCTTCCGAGCCCCCCTCGGCAACCCCGGAGAGGAATTCCGCAGTTCCCTTCCCACACAGCCAAAAGCGCTCATCTGTCGCCTCGGGAACACCACATCCCACACCCCCAGCCGAGAGCCCCATCTCCATCGCACGCCAACACCAGCCCTTCCTTTCCCTGCGGGTTCTGTGCCCCGGCAGGGAATCCCACTCTTGGGGGAGGACGTTTTATTTCGTTTTTGGTAGCTCACACAGCCTTTGACAAACGTCTGCATAGAAGTCACAGGTTATGCTGAAGCAGCTACGCATGTGCTGGGTGCCTGGCTTTGCCTTTAAAATGAAGGCTGCTAGAGAGACTTCCACTTCCGTCAATGAGAGAGACCGCCTTCAATCTCAAACCTATTCTTAAACCACAGATCCTCAGCTCTGTCGGTGAGGTCTGTACAGAGCCTACCATGAAAGGTTAATTTTGCCAATATAAAGAGGCCATTCCCACCCAAGTGTGGCGCCCGCCCGTGATCCCAGCATGCAGGGGTGGAAGCAATAGGATCAAGAGTTCAAGGTCATCCTCCGACACTTACCGAGTTTAGAACCAGCCTGCAAGGTTGGACCTTGTCTAAAATATTTTTAAAAATTATTTTAGAAACAGAGGAAGGTGGGAAGCCATACTAAACAGGGGATATTTGCATTGAATTCACGAATGTTTTCACAAAGAGCAGCTTCCTGAAGGGAATAGGTTGCAAAATAAAGCATTTGGTCCACTTGAGTGTTTAGCAACGCCGCTCCCTCCGCCCCCCAAAATCACTTGAGTCGTCCCACAGGGCTCCACCCATAGACTTAAGATAGATTCCTTCAGCAGATGCAAATCGCTGAAAAAAAAAATCAAGTACGTCATTTCATTTAATTATTTCCAAGGAGTGGAGGCTGGCATGCAGTTCTGATTGATACTTGGAAAGGGACCAACAACCCTACACGAAACAAACAAACAAAAATTCTAGTGTATAGCAATGCACTCCCTAGAAGCAAGGTGGAAACTGGTTAGGGCACAGCCTCTTCAGGAGGATCAGGTGACTGCCTGCCTCCAAGGTGGGGGTGTGGGGATGGAGAGCTGGTGGGTCTTCCTCCTAGCTGTGTTCCAGTTCTGCCTGGCTTCATGTTTTCACACCAGCAGCAAGAGGTACTGAGGGCAGGAAGGTTGTGACCTCTCTCCATTTGTCTGAGAGGTTCACTGGGTCTCATTTTTGTAGCCACCCAGGCTCTGCTCTCAGGGGCTATAGGTGCTCCTGGTTCTTCCCTAAGGCCATCTTCATACACAGGTCCCCTCCTGAAAGATGCTTTCATTATCTAATTCGGCTTTCCTTCCAGTGCACCCTATATCAAGTTATTTAAGGTCCTTCCCCCTCCCCCAGCCCTTAGCTATGGAAAATACGCTGTAATTTTTGTTCAGCTGTTTACTGCCAGTCTCCTAGTGTCTTGGGCACCCAGATTTGAGCTCCATGCGAGCACAGCTTGTCTGCCTTGTCCACCCTCAGTACAAAGCAAAGTCCCTGACATCTGGTCATCATTTATTGAGTACCTGCAGTTTAAGTGAATGAGAGTCCCGCCCTCCTCAGCCCATTAGTAACTTTCAAAGCACTGCAGCAGCACAAAGACCTCAGCAAATGTCTACTGAACTACAGCCCATTGATTTCCATTCATGAATAAGCCAGAAGGTCTCTGAACCACTTGCCTATGAGAATGGCTGTGAAACTTAGGTTTAAAACAAAGAGAAGGCAAAACTGCATTAGGGCTCTCAGAGGTGAGAATGGCCAACAGTCTCAGAGGTACTGCCACCATATTCCACTGCCCTTCTGGAATGTTCTTTGCATTTGTTTGTTTGTTTGTTTGTTTGTTTTTAGGGCTGGAATACTCCCTTACACCAATAGGATGGCTTTTAGCTCAGCATTGGCTCCAGGCATATTATCATACCAAATAAGCCTTTGTTTCCTATTGGTATCTCTGAGACCTTTGTCTTAAAGGTTGGCAAAAGCGATCATCAACCCAAACTCTGTGGTTACCTTTATGTATAAATAAAGTTGGCAGAAACAAATAAAGGGTTAAAAAGAAGAAATAGGCAGGGTGTGGTGGCGTGCGCACCTTTACTGCCAGCACTCGGGAGGCAGAGGCAGGTGGATATGAGTTTGAGTCTAACCTCGTCTACACAGTGAATTCCAGAGCAGCCTTGAGGGCTCAGTCCGTCATGCGCAGGGCTTCCTCGCTTCCTGTTTGCAAGGCTTTCAGAAGAAAGGCTACTGTCTTCCAGCAAAGCTTAAAACCATGTACTTAATCACTTGAGGACAGGAAGAGAAGGGAAAGAAGTGACTTGCATTGCAAAAAGATGAAGTGCGATCAAAGACCTTCAGAGGCGCAAATAAAAGAGGTCTTTAGCTAATGAAAGGAAAGTTGGTTTAAAAAGCTAGCTGTTCAGATAGAAAAGTTAGGAGGTGACTTGGAAAAGAGGCCCGCCAGCTCTCAGCCCTCTGCAGGCCTCCTGCAAGGTGGTGGAGGCCACAAGAGTCAGTCTGCTCCATATTTGGACAGCTCTAATCATTAAAGCAGTGCCATTCTGGGCCAAGTCCACCTTCCCTGAGTTAGCTACATTCGCTCTTATTCAGCTCTCCGAAGCCACCCTAAACAAGCTTAATCCCTCTTGTATGCAATCCCTTTGAGTACTTCAAGAACTTTATTGCACCAATGTGTCCTTTCCTAACTAAAAAGAGCAGCTGGGCACCAGAGCTGTTTTCCTACAGCCTGGGTCTCAGCCCCTCAACATCTCTGGGCATGCTCAAAACTGAGCACACACAGGTCTGAGCGCAACCTATTCTGTCCTGAGTCCTTCCAATCACACAGTTAGTGTTAGCAGGCAATGCACACCAAGTCCTTTACATGCAAACCACAGTCCTGTTTGATCTGTTTATGGTACACTTAGCTGGTTGATTTCTGTGTCCCATCCACTGAGCCTATCAAAAATTGAATGCTTTTGTGCTTATAATGGTCTTTTTTAGTTTTTATCTTCAAACTAGTCTTTTTTTCAAAGTTTTTTTTTTTTTTTTTTTAATGTGAATGAATGTTCTGCTTGCACCACTGTGAAAGCAGGAAGAAGACATTAGGTCCCTTGGAACTGGGGTTACAGACCACTGTGAGCTGCCATGAGCATGCTGAGAATGGAACCTGGGTCCTCTGAAAGACAGCCAGCGCTGTTAACCACTGAGCCATCTCTCCAGCCCCCAGGTGCATTTGGATTTACCTGTGTGTGTGTGTATGTGTGTGTATCTTTGTGCAGACGGCTGCAGTTCTTTTCTTAGCATCTGCATTGGATGGCTCACAACAAGCTAGAACTCCAGCTCCAGGGGATCTGAGAGCCTCTCCTGGCCCCCTCAGACTCCTGCACTCACATGCTACACCCGAAGGCAGCTGAAGGGGGCTGTGTTCCACACGGGGCCCAGCTTGAGCATAGGAGACCTCAAAGCCCGCCCACAGTGACACACTTCCTCCCACAGGGCCACACCTACTCTACCAAGGCCACACCTCCCTATGGCACTCAAACGCATTCAAACTGCAATAATATATACGTGCGTTGTATACATGCCTAGTACCTCCAGAGGCCAAAACAAGGCCCTGAACCTCCTAGAACTGGAGCTACAGATGGTTCTGTCACGTGGGTGCTGGGAACTGCACCCAGGTCCTCTGCAACATCCAATGCTCTTTACCGCTGAGCCACCTCTCCACCCCCAAACAGTGATTTAGCGACACATTCCAGATTTTGATTTACACACACTTTAACAAGCAGGATGTCTATGTCACTATCCGACAAGACTTCCAGTGACTCATTCCAG